CACAAGTTCACCCAGCTCACGTGCTGGGGCATTCTTCACCGCATCGTCCATGTAGAAAGCCAGCGTTACCCTCTGCGCAGCCATCGTCCTCTCCTCATCCGACTGATCACGAGAGAGAGCCAGGCGACACGAGGCAGCCCGCCCCATCTGCCGCCCCCCCCCCATGCATAAGAGAGTGCCGCCGAATGGGGGGAGGAAAGGAGCGGGGCGAGAGGAAGCCCGCTCGGCAAGAGCAGGGAACGCGGCCGGCCGACAGCAGGGGACGAGCGGAGAAGAGCCGTCGGCCACGGAGTGAAGTGGAGGGCCCCTGGAGGGCCCGGGAGCGGCGAGATGGCACACGGGGCCCGTTCCCAGACCCTCGCCATGATCTGTGAATTCGCGACGTGGGCCCCAGGTCTGGACCCCTTGCGGGGGACCAGCTCTTCTTCCTCGGTGAGAGCCCCCAGAGGCCAAGAGTAACAAATTGCTTGCGCCATGGCTCCTTTCTGCGCCGCCAGGGGGGCCTGGGCGTCCCTCCAGGTCGACCCCTCGCGGACGCGCTGACCCGGGCCGATGCAAACCCAGGGCAGCCAGGCTTTGCAGGATCCCGCAGGATCCTGCAGGACCCTGTGCGCCAGCTCGGGTCCAGGCACCCTTGGCTCTGCAGGATCCTGCAGGATCCGGCGCCCAGGCTGATCCCGGTTTGCACCGACCCCCCTCTTTCCTCGGGGCGACGATAAAAATGCGAATAGCCCAGGGGGGGACAATACATGTATCCAATGGCGCCCACGGTCCGTGCCTGCGGCGGGGCCCTCTGGCGAATACGTCTAATACCCGCCCATTGGGGAAGGCAAGAGGTACCGATACCGCTACTCCCTGGACCTCTCCTGGAGTGTGTTCTGACCAGGAGATCGAGGCGAATCCGGCGGTGGCGACTGAGGCCTCCCAGGAGGCCCAACAAGGTGACAACGGGAGAAGGGCAGCGGTATCGGTGCCCTTTCCTCCTCCGACCAAACCCCTGGGCTAGTCGACCCTATCGTCTTCTCCGATCTTACAGCTCGAGTCGACGTAGCATGTAAAGGAGCCCAGGGATACACAAAGAAATAGACACAAGTAACAGGATTCCCCATATTTTCTAGGTTTTCGTCTCCCCCCCACACTTCCCATATTTTCCTGCATGTTCTATGGACTCGACGATTTATTGTGTCTGTGCTTTTTCTCCCCTCCCGAGCAGCACCGGGGCCACGGGTCCTGAGGGAGACGGGCCCTGGACTCCGGGGGCCTTCCCCCGGGACCACTCCTCTCCATCCCAGCTCGTCTTCTGGCAGACCCGGGGCCCGTGGAGAGCCCCGGGAGGCCAACAACGAAGGAAAAACCTCAGGACTTGGCTGCCCCGATGCGCAGCACGCAACGCGCAGAGTACTGGCACGGAGTCAACGCGTAGACTGACAACGTAGTTCCGACGCGATACGTTCGCCAAAACGTGGGCCAATACGCTGAGCCAACACGCAAAGCATTGACACGGCTTTCTTGAGCACGGTCCGTGATGCGTTGCAGAACGGGCGTGTCGAGGCAGCTAAGTCCAGGACCCCGTTTCCCCCATGTCGGCTGTACGCCAGAGTGACCCTGGGTAAGAATGACCTTTGCTGCGCGGCTGATTTCGGGGGCCGCAGGGGGACCACACACAGGCGCGCAGGACGCCACTCTCGCATCGCGTTCGGCGATCGGGGGACCCAAATGGGCCCGCACCAGAGGTCTCTCCGGCGAAGGGTCACCTCTACGCGTAGCCGATCATGGCGATCGACCCCCAGCGGCTGAGCCCCGCCGGCGCGCAGGGGCCCCGCCGCGTCCTCCGCACGGGCGGGCCGCGCGCCGCGGCGCCCACGCTGCCGACGGTGGCACCGCGCAGCGCCCCGGGCGGCACAGCGCAGGGCTGCGCCCCGCCGCCAGCAGGGCACGCATGGCGCGCGCTGCAAGAGCCGCGCGCGCGGGGAGGTTCTGGAAAGGGCTCCGCTGGAACGTGCCGCGGAGAGGTCTGTGGAACAAAAACAAACAGAACAAACACACACACAGTGGAAAAACACACACAGACACACAGACACACAGACACACAGACACACAGACACACAGACACACAGACACACAGACACACAGACACACAGACACACAGACACACAGGCACAGGCACAGGCACAGGCACAGACACAGACACAGAGACAGACACAGACACAGACACAGACACAGACACAGACACACACACACACACACAAACACAAACGCTGTGTGTTTGTATGTTTTTTCCGCATGCGCTCCACAGGGGGGCGGGGGTTGAAGAGGGAGGACCACAGTCAGAACTGATAGTAAGGATGCGCGGTGAGGGTGCAGGCCCCATGGGGCGCCTATGTTGAAGCTTTTCGAACGGGTTTGTCCATCGAAAGTGATTAAGGACGGACCAAACATGCAGGGATGCAAGGATACCCTTTGGGAAGGCGACCCATCCTTACCATCGGTTTCAACTGTAAGCAGATACACCGATCCTTGCCAGGACCATGCTGAGACCAGGATCGGTGCGTACGCCCAACTGGCTTCGCCGTGGGGTTAGCGGGAGCGATCCTGGGCCCAGGCCAGGACCGGTGCATGTGCGAGTTTCCCTTCGCCCGCGGCGTGGGGTCGGGCGTGGCTAGAAGTGCCCCTGGCCCAGGGCGCCCCCAGGACTTCCAAGGAGGCCCCCCGCGGCCTTCAGAGCACCCCTCGCGAGGCCCGGAGGGCCCCGAGGGCGGTGCCGCGCGCTGGAGCCCCCCCCCCAGGCGCACGGGGGGGGAGGGGGGGCAGAGTCGGCGGCAGCGGTCTTAGGCTCTTCGCCCCTGTCGGCCAGGCCCCGCGCTTCGGGGGGGGGGGCTGCGCGCTGGGTGCACGGAGAGGGGGGCCCTGGGGGGAGGAGAGGATCACGGGCGACGGACGTACCCATGAGCCCTCCAGGTCTGGATGCCGAGGCGCGATCCCATGGATGCGCGACCCCATGGATACGATCCGCGCGGGGCATGCGGCATCCGCGCAACGCCGCCCCGTATTCATGAGACCGCGGCAGAGGAGTCCAAGCCGCGAGGACGCGGATATTGACACGTGCCCCGAACACTCCTTCTCCTCCTTCTCCCCCTCCTCCTCCTCTTCCTCGCCGTCGTCGTCGTCCTCCTCCTCCGAAAGGACGTCGGAGGCGGGCAGGAAGGAACGGAGGAGTGAGGGTGAAATATGGGGAGCGGGGGGGTCCGAAGAGCGTAGTCGCTGCCACGACGCCGGCCAGGGCAGTCTGACCCAGGAGTCTCGAGACGACATCAGGCCCACCCCTGGCCTGGGAGCGCACAGTCCTCCCAGGCGGCGACGGGTCTCTGGGATCTGCCTGCAGGTCGTTCACTTGTGCGAGCCCTGGCAACGACCAGTGAGCTACCCCTGCCATTCCCTGCATCCGACTCCGTACTCACGGCTCTTTGCCTGTGGCACACCGTCGGCGGCCCGAAGCACATCGGCTCTAGACTACCCGCTGCCACGCCGAACAGTGGCACTTGGCATTGCCAGTGCGACCAGATAGAACAGCACGCAAGTGGGAATTACACGCCACACCTCCATCAAACCAAGGGCACCTTGCTCAGGTTCTGACGCCTCCCCGAGCCTCTGAAGGCAGAAGCACCTGCCACTCATCCTACTCCTCCATCCTCTTCTTGCCCCTCCTCTGGCCGCTCATCATCTCTCCTTATCTTCCATCCGCATCCTGTTCCCCAGTCCCTCCGTCCAACCTCCCTCCTCTACCTTCTACGAGACATCTAGACCCGACGAGACGGCACCGCCGCAAATGCACAGCGTGACAACTTCTCCTTAGCAAATTGCGAATTCCCTCCCTATCCTGCTCCACTGCCTCCCTCCCCTGTCGCACCCATAAGCGTGTAGGAAGGGCGGGCTGGGCGTTTCGCCCAATACCCTTCACCACTGATGTTCCTGAAGCTGAGAATCTGCTAACATTTCACAGATGGTGGGCGGGCCATTTTCACAATGCGGCTCTCGCCTTACCGCCGCGCGCAATCGCTCTAAACAATTGTAAGAGCTTCTCGGTGGAGGGCGGGCCGTTTTCAACATGTGGCCCTCGCCTAAGCGCTGCGCATGTGCGTCCTCCAAGTCCTTGAGAGCTTCTTCGATGGAGGGCTGGCCGTTTTCAAATTGTGACTCTCGCCTTACCGCCGCGCAAACTCTTCAACAGTTGCAAGAGCCTCACGGGTGGAGGGCGGGTAGTTTTCAAAATGTGGCTCTCGCCTGGGCGCCGCGCACAATTGTTTTCACAGTTTACCGCAGTTTCAATTGTTCTTATGGTTGACGTCCCAGAAAGGATGTTTTGGCACGATGTCAAAGTGTCAGGGCGCAAAAGGTACTTTGTTTCGCGGTGTAGACATCCCAAGAATGTTGTTCTGGCACGATGCTGGACCGTCAGGACGCAACGATAGTGTTGATTCGTGGTGTTGAAGTCCCAGGAAGAGGGTTCCCTCGCGGTTCATGATTTTCAAACAGTTGTCTTCCAACGGAGCTCTTCCATCAGCGACAATGATCCTTGCAGGAACCTGTGAATAGAGAGAACTTGGAGGGAGGGTGATTGCAACATCGTTGATGACCCTTGAGTTTGCAGTGGTCTTCCTCATCCTCCTCGCCTCTCCTCTGTCTCTCCTTTCCTCGTCCTCCTCCCTCTCCTTCTCCACCGCCATCCTCGTCCTCTTTCGGGGATGGACAGAACCCCCTTTAGTAAACGTGGTTTAGTGAAAACGACCTCGGGCCCAAACCTGGCGGGCGCAAGACTGGAAAATGACGGCCGCGGCGCCCTCTCGAGAACCGAAAGCGGACATTTCATTGATCGACGTGTCAAGGTGGGGTTTCTGTCAACCCCTGACACTTCCTCGCCTCCACTTCCCCCCTTCGTCCGTTCCTCCATCCGTTTCTCCGCTCCTCCCCCTCGTGCGCCGCGCGCACGGGGTAGCACTTTTTTGCGCCTCTCCTCAGGGTATCCGGAGAAGAAGGTGCACCCCAGAGTCTGTCTGCACCTCGGCTTCAAGTAGCACGCAAGGAATCGCCACATTCGGACACGCGCCGCACTCACCCTCGAATGTCAGCGCGGGCAACAACCAGAGCGCGAGGGCGCCACTAGATCATAGCACACACTCGCTGAGCCCATCCAGGTGGAGCGCAACTGTTGGAACAAGGTCGACATTGTTCACGCGATGCTGCTATCAACGCGATCGGGGCCCGTGCAAACTTCCCGACATCCGCATGTGATGGCCTACTTCTGTCCATTGTTCGCGGGCGCCGCTCGCGGACGGCTCGAGCTCGAGGGCGATCTCGCGATGGACTGTCGACCTGGCAGAAGAGGCCCGCACTATGTCCGACACCTCGCCTATGGCCAGCGCGAAGGCTGCCTCGGGGCAACACAGCCGATACCACGAGGTGAGGCCGATTGAGCAGTAGGAGGCAGAGGGGGGAGGAGAAGAGATGGAGTGCTGCACTCCTCAATCCTTGCACCTCTCCTTCGGACAGCGGGTATCGGACCTGCAGATGTCGCCATCGAGGGCGCCACAGGTGGGCGCCGTAACACAAGGCATGTGGTAAGATGGAGAGTACACCTACGCAAAGGCAAGAAAATACACTGGTACAGAACAATGCTGTCTACATGGGCGTCCCCCAGCAGCCCGTGAAGGCTATGGCTGCCTACTCTGCCTTCCCGTTGTTGTCTCATCATCCTTGCTCCTCCCTCTCGTTCTCCGTTTCCTCCTCCTCCTATCGCACCCTTGGCTCCTCTTGGTAAGTCTAGGGATGTGTCATGGCGTCCTCCAGCAGTCGAAGCTGAGATGATGCATGTAGGGTGGGTTTCTGCTAGCCGCTCGGCCAAGCCTGGAGGCATAGTTGTTAATACGTACACAGCATGATAAGTCTGTGAATATAGTCACGTAAATGAACACAGTATTTGTTTTGTGTTGCCGGCGTGGCTCAAACAACTACAGTCTATTGCATAAGCGATGTGTAAGCTATGTGGTGCACGCTGTGCGCTGCAAGATATGCGACGCAACACATGTAGTGTAGGCGATGCGATGCAAGTTGTGCGGTGCAAGCTGTGTGGTGCAAGACATGGGGTGGAATCTATGTGGTGCAAGATACGTGGTGCAAGCTGCACCGTGTTGGCTGCGCGAAAGGAGCTACTCGGTGTTTGCTGTGTGGTCTACGTATGTGCTGTAGGCTGCGTGTGTGGTGTAAGCTAGGTGGTGCAAGCAATGAGGTGTAAATCCTCTAGTGCAAATTGACAAGTCACTCGACACACAACATCAGCGTGAACCATCTCTCGTGCTCGTGCAAGCAATTCCACCCGCATATCCGCAAGTTGTTTGCAGCATTCAGTAGGCAATGTTCGCGGCAAGCGCATGGGCGCGTGGAACTCAAGCGCGCAGAAACATCCGTCTTGTAAAACAAGAAATTGCGATGATCATGTTGGCGCGGGCGACGGAAACGGAGACAACGACGATGATGATGATGTCCACGACGGCGGTGAAATCATGTCGATGACGACGATGGTGATGGTCATGAAGATGGCGATGACACATCCCCAGGAAGAAAGTTGTTTCCTCTTGGGCCCGGAACGACGGCTTGAAGTCTTGAGCAGACGCGTATGAGATAACCGCCGTCGGATCCCATGAAATTCGCGCGGAACCCAATGTGGCTTTGGTGTTTTGTTCCGGTGGATCCGATTTCCGTCCGCGCGGATCCGATTTCAGATTTGCAGGATCCGTGGTCGGTCATATTTTTTACGGCGGATCCGATGTTTTACCCTGTCTTAAATTTGCACGATTAAATAAAACAGGAAAACAGAGGAAATCGGATCCGCGGACCCCGGAACCCGCCTGTGTTTAGATTCTACGGGGGAACGGGGTTCGGTCATGAACTTCCAACTCAGCATCGCCATTTGCACCTCAAGAGGAAAATCTCTCGTACGGGGGAAAAGGGTTCGGTCATGAACTTCCAACTCAGCACCGCCATTTGCACCTCAAGAGGAAAATCTTTCGTCCTGCGTAAGTAGTTGACCATGGTGCTGGTGAGGATGATAAGGAAGTGCCCGCACACTGAAATGTGACGAGGGCCACGACACCGATGGTGACGGCGACGGTGATGATGTCGACGATGGTGGCGATGATGGTGATGACGATGACGATTGCATTGGTGACGCTGGCGGTGATGATGCCGATTGTGCTGGTGAGGATAATGAGTAAATGCGCGCCAGCAAAAATCCTGAACCCCTGGCAAACAGATGGTGAACAATCATTTGGGTTCCGTGCTGTTTGACAACATTTGTGCTGAGACTGTTTAAAGCCATGGGTCTCGCAACGACTTCGACGTACGCGTGCTGATATGCGCGCGTGGTCAGCACACTATGATTTGACATTGATTGGCCAGCTCGCGATTCTTGTTGAACAATTTCGACATGCGCGCGCGCGTGTGGCTCGCAAGGCCTAGGCAGAATTTCGAGAAACCTATTGTGTCTTGCATCGGCGAGCGCGCGCGCAGAATTCTAGCAACTCTTGTGCTGGAGAACAAAATGCAATCTGACGGTTGTTGAAAAGCTATGTCTTCAAACGGTCGAGACAACATGCTTTTAATGACTTAGACATGCGTGCAGAGCTTTGCTCGCATGTGCCCCGCATGAAATGGATTGCAAAGTAGTATGATAACAAAACACGTACTACATTCTAGATCAACGCACGATACCGCATCGTCCTTTGCCCGAAATGGCGTTGATGGTCAAAAACCGGCCTGGTCGGGATTAGGAAGTTTGAAATTGCACATGGGCGACAGTGCACAAAACATATCGAGAGAAAGATCAGCTCGAAATGGTGAGCGGATAACCCTGGCCTCGGCGGGGTGTATGGGGGGGAACTCTCAGATGTTTTAGCAAGAGCATTCCATGGGGCCTCCCAAACAAGGCGCCCACGAGGCGCCCACGGGTGGGCACCAGGCTCAACCTCTGGTACGCTTGCCCAGCGCACGAGGCGCCCCTGAGCGCCCACGGACGGGCACCAGGCGAAGCCTCGGCACACACCCAGCGCACGAGGCGCCCTCGGGCGGGCACCCGGCCAAACCTCGGCACACCCACTCAGCGCAAGAGGCGCCCACGCGGAGCCCATGGGCGAGCAGCAGGCGAAACGCTTGGCACACACACACACACGCACACACACGCACAGCGCACAAAACAGCAACGGGCGGGCACCAGGCGAAACCTCGACACCCCCACCCAACCCACGAGGCGCCCACGGGCGGGCACCAAGCGAAGCCTCGGCACACCCAGCCATCAGAGGTGCCCACGAGCAGCCCACCAACCGGGCACAAGGCGAAACCTTGGCGCACCCAACACACTGACTCCAATGAGCCCCAAAACCGTAAACCAGCGTGGACCCCCGACCGTAAGTTATCCCACTGGATGTGCAAGCTATGTGGTGCAGTCTGTGTGGTGTAGGCCGTGTGGTGCAAAACCAGTGTAAGCTATGTGGTTGAAGCTACGAGGTGCAAGCTGTGTGGTGCAAGCTATGTGGTGCAAGCTGCATGGTGCAACACACATTGTGAGAGCTATGTTTAAGTCGGGCGTGTCCCCCTACAGGAGGAATTTCGACGAAAAAATGAAAATACCCCAAACATATTCCAAAATAGTCAAAAAAATACTCAAAAAATAATCCCCAGACTATTTTTTGACTATTTTCGAATCTTCCCCCTGTAGAAGGACACGCCCGACTCAAAGCTGCGTGGCAGAAGCTGTGTGGTGCAACCTGTGCGGTGCGGCCCATGTGGTGCAAACCACGTCACGCAAGCCGCGCGGCCGCCCCCGGAGCGCCCGCGAGGCGCCCCACGGGGCGCCCACCGAGCAGCCTCGGCCTGCCCACCCGGCGCACGGAGCGCCCACGAGCGCAGATAGGCAGCAGCGGAGCCGATCACCCAATCCAACACAAACGGCCACGAACATGCGAGCGTGTGCACGCCGGTCGGAAGAAGTGGGTAGAAGCATGGAGCAGGAAGGCGTTCGAAGTAGACTGGACTTCCGCCCGCCCCCTGAGGAGGAGGAAAGAAGGAAAACCGCTCGACTCTTGAAGAAGGAAGGCACCTAAAGTAGATTAGGATTTGGGCATCCAAGAATACCTACTTTCAACGACCAGCGTGTAACAGTGCACGTGAGCACTGCACCAGGCAGTCAAGCGAGCAACCACGCAAACGGATGAGCAAGCGAACGCGCAAGCACACGCACATGTGCACGAGCACACGCTCAATCACGCAATGCAAGCAAGAACGCAAGCATGCCGGCAAGCAGACAGCATTCCAAGCATGTGCGCATGCAGCCAAGCAAACACATCCAAGCAAACGAGGCATCACACAAGCATGCCAGCACGCGGTCGGAGAAGCAATAAAGCAAACAAGCAAGCAAGCAAGCACATCACATGCTTGTATGGGCATGCGTGGAGCCAACAATCGGACATCTGAACAAGACCTGGCGCCAGCCCTCCTTCACACAAGATCTGCACAAGTACCAGGCGGGTGCCTGGGCAAACATGTCGATTCAAAAGCACGTTGCCAAGAGAGCGCTGTTTCTCACCCCGCAGCCACAGGAGCGTCCGAAGACTATCGGCCCACGCGCGTGCAAGCACACATGTACTACCGATGGGCGCAAACGTCGAATGCGCCGTGCACGAGCGGTGCTTCATGCGCCTCCGGGACGCCACGCAGCAGCAGAGGGCCCCGCTCCTCATCGCGCCACCCCTCCGCTCTGGACCACCTCTCTGCGGAAGAAGGCAACGGAGGACGAGAGAGAGAGAGAGACGGCCTGACAAAGTCTGCTTGACAGACTTCAGTGCCATCAGCGTCCAGCGTCAAGGCGGCGTGTGCCGCGTCGCCCAACGCGCTGGGTCCTCCCTGGCTGCGCCGGGCGCGACCGCCCCAGCCCATGGCCTAGGGGCTCCTGCTGCGCGCGAAGAGCCGTGCGAGCGCCACCGCCGCGACACCGGCGGCCACGGCACACGCCAGCGTGGCCGCTGGGCGCAGCAGCCTTCCGGTCGACGGGCTCGCGTCGAACAGCTCTCGTGGCAGCGCCGCGGGGGCCGCCTTGGGCGGCGGTGGCGGTGGCGGGGGGGGGTGCTCGCCCTGCCTGTAGAAGGGGCAGCGCATGTCCTCGGAGACTGCGGCGAGGCACTGGTCGATGTGCAGGCCTCATCCCACCCAGGTCCACCTCCCGTCGCCGCAGTCGGGGCAAGGCACCTTCCTGCACATCCCCTGAACAACGGACACACCCCTGATGGACCCTGGAAAGCTTTGAGCCGAGACGGCTACAGACCTGGACGAAACAGCGCACGTGCTTAGACTGTATCTGCCTCCTCCTCCTCCTCCGTCTACT